TGAACTGCCAACTTTGTGGTTTGTAGTCCAGGACTGACCCTATATCATCACCACGATAGAGATGTAGTGAAATTAATTTTCTAAGGGGCTGTCTTGCACTATTTTAGCTAGCTAAACTCACTGCAGACTCTTTAAATGACTATTGAGGGCAATTACATTACTTGAAGGCCAAAAATAAAAAATGAAAAATAAAGATTTGTTAGGATGTTTGCGATTCGTTATGCGAACGGCACTGTCCGCCCTTCCCTATGGTTTCATGGGCTCAGAAATGGGCTGTAAATCACTTAACTGAAGTACATGTTTTCTGTCTAGAAAAATGAATCTCATGATATGTGCACCTTAACCAAAAACCAAACTCATTGCCTTCAAGTTCCTTCCCACTCATAGTGACCCTCTAGGATGGAACAGAACTGCCCATAGGGTTTCTTTTCAAGGCTGTAAATCTTTCTCGCTCTGAGCAGCTGGTGGGTTTCAGCCTCCGACCTTTCAATGAGCAGCTCAGCACTTCACCACTGCACCACCAGAGACTATAAAAGCATAATCTGCCCCCATTTGTTTCTCAGAAGCTGCAGTACTTGGGCCTTTCAGAGAAGACAGCAAAGAGGAGGAGCCGGGCGGGCTGGACCATTGAAAGCTATGCGCAGGGAATCGGGTTTTACCATGCTGTTTGTAGATGGGTGGTTTTCGGTAAATGTTGATCCCTTGATCTGTGGGAAGGAAAAGCACAGATGTATGATTATGGGAACCAGTTCAGCCAGCGGCAAAACACATCAACCAATGGGCAAACTGAAAGGAGGGCTCTTGAACAAAAAACTAACCCAGACGGTAAATGTTCGTATTACAAAGACTGAGTTTATTGAAAGAAAAAAGTACAGGGATGAGGAAATTACTACAGACATGTGACATGAAGGCCTTTGTAATACATCTTAACACATAGAGAGATGTCATTACTTCAGAAACACACGTCTCTAAAAGTGGGATTAAAACCATGACGAAATGCAGGCAGAGCACATGCTCTAATGGTAAGGAAGACACAACCAGTCTGGGGACAAATCCCCAAATTGATACTGTCTAGAAATTGAGTGCCCAGTAGATACCAGTGACTCAATTTACTTCTCAGCTAATGAGAGGAACAGTGAAAAGCAATGTAGTAATATCAAGTATTTTTAAGATACAGAAATGCTTTTAATGCACAGGCTAGCCCGATGTGTTGACGGGTTGCTCAAAAAACCCTAACGTGTGTAGACCAGATTAACAACAAAAAAAGAAATAGAAAAGAGATACTAAATTAAATTTGTAGAT